GTCTTGGACAAATTGAATCAACATATCTCTAAAAAGAACATTCAAAAAAATCGGAATAACGTATTCAACATGTACGGCTCATTTCTCATATTCATGCAAATGAGTTTATGTTGTGTACAGAAGTTAAACTCTGTTGATCGAATAATACATTTTCTTTCCATTCACTAATACAGATGCGTAAGAATGAGGCCGAGTACAACCAAAATGCAAATATTAAAAGCATGTCACGCAATAAAATACCTCAATATGTCCAATAGACTCCAAACATTCTTGTGGAGATGCAATAGTGCTCAAGTGGATAGTCAAGAATAAAGAATGTTCTTTAGTTTCACTTATGACCTACAGTGAATCGTTGACAACTCGTTACAACTTACTGATCCCTGAGGAGTCCCATTAACAGCATAAGCATCAGCAAACAATATGTTTTCATACGACATTTTGTATTTTGAATATACAATATAAGCAGTAAACAAAACTCCTAATTGCAAAATGCATCCAAGCACGACCGTTTCTGATGCGAATCCGAAGAACCCTTCAAAGGTTGAAAAACGATATGTGGCAGCAAACGTACATTCAGGAAAATATTTTTGACGCCTCATTACCTTGAGATTTAAATTAGTTCAATGAACTCTACTCTTATATTCACCATGTTAAACAATTTTAATTCATTGCAACAGGCCAGTATAAGGCGCTTGATTCCTTTCATTTTACTGCATGCCTTTCTATGCATCCGGGTTTCTGGTAACATGCTCTACTAGTTTTACTCAGAATAGTGGCTTTTACTGTGTTGGTATGTATTGTAATTTGGCCGAGTTTATCTCAAAACGGTAGGAATCCGGGGTATCCGGAGATACCACATAATCTGAGAGCAGAGTAGAGGTTTCAATGTCAGAAACCACAAAAAGAAAATTGGAACCTAAATGGACTATTGCTTCAAGGAATTAATAAATCAGTTTAATTCACATGTTATTGTTTACTTAAATCTTCCATTGATGTTTAGGACTGCTGGTGATCATTCTTTCATTTGCATATATGCATAGCGCGCGTATGCCGCGATATTGCCTTGGTTCACAGGCATTACAAGCAGAGATGGATAATGGCTAGCAGTGGAATTCTGGACGCGTATTTCATCCTATTTGGGACTCGTCAACATCTCACTCTGGGACTCAAAACCGGTACGGTACTCTTCAAACTCCTGTAGTGACCTACTTTTATCAAAAGAATGCGGTGAGTGTAATGGAAACAATTATCATAATCAATTGTGCCAGGAATTATTTTACCGTGCTCGTTTGTTTAACTGTATTACAAACACACATTCTTCCGTTGCTTGTTACCTTGCACGAACTTACATTCGCACGATCTTGGTATTCTTTCGATGCCACGAGATCGCCAACAAATGCATCTCGATTACAGCCATCAACTGCCTTCTGATCTTTGGCTTCTGGGTGATCTTACTGGTTAACTGCTACATAGTCTTCCTGTAGTGGTGATCATAGTCAACTGCCACTCGACGCCACGCTATTCGCCATCGCTTCGCTTGCTTAGCTACTGAGTTCTGACCAGTTAATCACTTTGTTCTTTGGTAGTGCACACAATGTCAGCATATGGAAATATAGTGAATAAGAGTGGAATTTGTGATGATAATAAGCACGATGGTAATTAGTCGCTGATGCATGGTAATGATAATCGTATTGATTTATAAGGCAAGAACCGGGTAAAGCTAATCCACTGTTTTATATTAAAGGCTTTCCTACTTTCTAGTCAGATTCCCTCCGAAACTAGGACACTACATAAATGCAAACGGTTTTGTTCTCTGGTCTTCAGACAGAGGATAAATTTAGCAAGTTATGAGTGAAAATAACAAGCAAATTCAGTAAATGGCATCGACGGAGTATTTCCGACTGCTGACTGTGCGTTTGTCGCCACTGGAAGTTAAACATTGAATTAGTTCGTAATTATCCTTTGGACCCAGAAAAACGAAATGATTTATTCTCGTCTGATAGCTTGATCGAAATGACATTCTCACGGATGTCGATCCTAGGTAAAATTGATGCGACGGATTAGGTTGATTGGTTAAGAGTTGGCCGCAAACAAAATATTATAGCTCAAGTATTCACTCACTTCTCTATTTTGTATAAGCATTATATTTCCTAATATTTTGTGTTGGATGTCAAAAAACTTTGTATATTTGAAGATAATTACCTTGAGATCCATTTGTTCTGTTTCACTACACAAATAAAGACCTATCCACAACTAGTCTGTTTACTTCTAGCGATAAAACGTGAGGTGCTCGTCAGAACAAAAGTACTGTTCAATAAAATACTTTGGGAAAATTTTCTGCGTAATCTTTCCGTTACAACTCTGATTTAAAATTCTATCAAAATACAACATACCAGTCATTAAAATGAGTCAACATCAAAAACATGTAAGAGATTCAAAGCAAAGTACCTTCCAAAATCTACTGTTTCCATGTAATTTAAGGGATTATATCTTATCGCTTTGCTAACTATCTTCTATTGATCAGTCTCCGTCTTTTTCAAATCCACATAACTATACACTTCTGTGGACAACGTCGATGCATATGCATTATTACTTTTAATCAGTCTATCTGAATACCATCTTTTTAAACATCTCCATGATAACTATATGTACAATATTGATACTAGTTGGAAAAGAATCGAAGATCCGGCCTCATACTATTTGTAATAAGTCTTGTGGAGTTTGCTAGATCCGAGTATTCATAATCCAACTAGGAAAGCTATTTATAATATGCAAGATGACATCGACCCATTAAAAGAAACATCATATTTGTTGAAACTCATTGTAGCCAACCTTACTAATCGTTAAGAGCATCACAGTAAAATCAGATTTTGTAGTTTAAAAAAGTAAAAAACCTGAAGTAATTCGCATAACTCTGATTTTAAAACCAACTAAAAGCATAAGCGCTATCTACTGTGTCTTATGAGATTGCTCTAGTAAGACTGAAACTTGTCTCTCACGATCCAGAAACATCAGAGATATAGGTTGACATTCAACGTCTCTGTATTTGTAATGAGTGGTAAATACTTATATATGGTAGTCATCGTGATATGAGATCACTTTTGTGATACATTCTAGTGAGAAGTCATAGCAAGTGGAATTCAACCAGGTTGATAGTATGACATTCATCACTGAAGCCATTGGATGGTCTTCAAATTATTTTGTAAATTGACCGAACTTGGAAATATAACTCATCGAATTCTGTATTAATTATCTCAAACTGTTGTCATAACTATGAAACTTTGGAAACGATGAACTCATTCCCGGATAACACTCATCAACATATAATGCATTTGGTTGATAATTAGTGATGATTGAATTCTACCAAGGATCCATCAGCTTACTTCAAGCGTAATATGTTTTGAAGAAGGAAAGTTTTACTGTTTATTGACTATTATCATAAAACTTTCAAATAATCTCCTAATAAAATTCCAAGATAAGAATATTAATTAACGACGGATTCTTTTTTGAAAATAAAGTTTGTGTATTATGATTTATAAATAAAGAATTTTGTAAAAAGGACAATTGGCAGCACAGTTGGTTCCTTTAATCCAAATGTATTGTTATCGTGTCGAAATTCGTTTTAAAATCAAGCAGAATGATCAAGGACGTCCACCAGTTTAAGTTTATCTTTATATAATCACAGCTCATTCAGTCATGAGTGAAGTAGAACCTGGAATATATGTCCATTGACCCAGGTTGTCAAATCATATCACAATAGTAAGACAGAATTTCTGAACATGAATAACAGCAGAAGTATCAAGAATATCAGTGGTGAGAGAAAATCGAGCGTAGAGACTATTCAAGAAGAGAGAATGAACTCATGGAATAAAAGGTGAAGAACAATTTAAAACTCAGGATACATGAGAAAAAAGAGTAAGCGTATCTGCATCATTGCCGTAGATTTAGATACATTTAAACTAACATTGGGATAAATGCATAAACTTCGCCGGGGTATATCAAACTCACCAGCACATCTTAGACCATCATTTATTAATTTCAAGGATTGTTGCCGCATTTACATTTGTCTTTTCATAATTCTCTTCCAACCTAATGCAATCAAAACCGGAGTTGAAAGACCCTCAAAATCCTAATAACCTGTTTACCATCTATGTCTATTACCGCATGTCGTCCGTCGGGATTAGTCACTTAGTGACATCGCAAAAGGGCAACATTTCGATCGAGTACTAATAACTTATGAATGTTTTCTACTGTTTTTGAAGAATAGAGCATCCCAAACTCAAGGTAATAAAAAGCTTGGTTCAACAGAGAAGCCAAATTACTAGTAGTATCAGTGATAGAGAACTATGCTTAAGAATCATAGTTTGAGTAGAATGAATAAAACATAGGGATTAAAGTGCGCTGATGTTCGAAACCCCGAGTTACCAAAAGTAATGGAAACGACAGACACCACTTCAACGAATTTTGACCGAAGTCCTCCGGATATCCTTACAGAATATGAATATCGCCTGAACCTCAACACTGCGAAGTTTAGTAGTCAACACTGACTCGTTCATTTCTGTACTTCTCCTTACTTGACCCTATGTTAGTCACCATCAAATGTACGAGGCAAGAGATGCAAGGTATAAATAGCACATGCCCGGAATACCTAATTTAATGAAAATCTGTAGCGTGACCAATTTAACCACTATTTCTTTGCAATTCTAAAAAGCGTCTACCATCACCTATGACCAAAGACTTGTACACTACGTATCGCTAACTTTCATGTTTCACAGCAATAGAACTATACGAAGACTGTTGAACAGTAGAAATTTCCGACATAGAGCCCACCATTCAGCCAGTCAAAAGGGAACGTATAACCCAATTGTTGTAGAAGAGATAAGGTGTAGACAATGTTTCAAGGGGAGGGGAGGAATTCAAGGCTCATCAAGGAAGATGAGACTTTCAAGGTGAGTGAACTGTTTAAGACTATTACCCCACTGTTAATTTAAAAAAGTCAGTCGATAGGAAACATTCTAGTTATTTTTTGTTGTTATTCACTGAGGTTAGAGCATTCTAAATAAAGTCAGTGCTTCTTTAAAAAAACTAAACTGAACTATGCCATCTACATACGCAATTACGCTACATCTCAATAGATCATGAACAAAGTGGAAATTAGGTTATAAATTTCATTTAAATATGTTTACTCATTACAAATAAAATAAAATAAGATATTAGATTTTATTGTCGCCAAAATCCCCATAGACCACCGCCAACTAAACGGTCAAATTCTGGTACACTAGGAAAATACCAATAATTCCCAGTGACACACTTGGTAAAACGCATTACATCATCGTTTTTTCGATCTTCACTACCTCCAGTCATTCGATCCAACATGAAATCGAAATTTTTTGTGTCAGCTGCATATGCAATAAATAGTAGACCAGCATCGCCGGATAAAGTTCCGTATGGTTGAGATTGTCGAACTATTTTGTACTTTGATGGAGCATCATAATCTGCAGCTAATTATTGTAAGAAAAAACAAATACCAAAGATCATATTATTAAGTTTAAAAATATAAAATATGAAATACACCCTGCTGAAGTAAAAGTACAGAACCACACTTCGAATATGTTAGTAATTGATGGGAAAAATTTGAAGTTCAGATGAATAGTTTTGATGGTATAGTGTTCTCGGAGTTACAGAATTTGGTTTCGCCTACATTTACACGAGTTGGATGCTCAAGAAACTGTTCACAATAGTAACGAAAGGTTTACAATTGAGCTGTCTACCTTGTGGGATATAACGCCAACAGAAAGACATACAAGCAGATGGAACTGAAGTTGCAAAATTACTGAAAACTAGGATATAAAAAATAGGTATATTATAGTGTTAAATGATATGAACTACCTGCAGTCTGGAATCTGTTGAAAATTAAACAAATCTTTGAATAATTTCCTTCAATTTTTTATTTATTTATTCAATCGAACACATAAATATTGGTAAAAAGGTGCATCGAATACATATGCTCCACACAAGTCACTTGATTTGAGTTTGGGCTATGATACTCTACGGATGCTCAAACCGAAGCACGTGGTTTTCTCAGGAGGGGACACCCGGAGTCTTCGACATAAAGGTCTGATCCACAAGGTATTAGAGCAACATCAAGAGATGAAGTCCCATGGTAGCCTGTGACCAATGAAAATTGTACCCTCAGGATACTGGGGCCTACGTGCACCATTGGTTTAGAATATAATTATTTTCTGAGAGATAAACCAATTGAGAGAGAAATATTGTTACTTACATCCAACCATTCTGGCGACATGAGAAGTAATAGGTTTGTTCTTCAACTCGATACTATCTTTCAATGTTCGACCAATCCATCCTTCTTTGGTGTGATCTATAAATCAAATAAATTAAAACTTATAACTGTTGCTAAAATGTAATTCTTATATAAGATTTTTACCTGTTACATACGTGTTGATGAACCATCGTTTTTGGAAGTGAATTAGTATCAGGATCATTGCGAGATCAGAAGATTGATTGGTCACTGGGCATCGGTCGACAGAAGCATTGACAAATAGACTGAGTCATGTAGATAGGTTCTATCTGATGGGACTATTCGTGATTACTATTTACCAGTTTGGTGAGAGACGTTTAATGGCAGGGATCAAAATCATTCACAATGACGTGGATTCATTCACTCTTTATATTCTCTAACATCCTGATTTTCAAAATCATCTTATGTTTTTTTAACTTGTCTATACCTGACTTTTTCTACAAATTCTGATGCTATCACTACTTCTAATATGGTGTGGCAACTTGAACCTATATACATGTACGCCAGATCCTAACGTTGTGTGTGACTTATTTACTGACTGATGACTGGGACGTGATTAACGTCCTCTACAAGTGAGATAAATTCATTGATTGACTATTTGCCTATTCACCAGTGTCATGCTTGTCTAGCTCTTACGACGACTGATTGAATCCCGTCGATCAAGTTGTAATGTAGCCAACTGTTTTAAGTAGCTTGACATTGTGTGCACTTTATTTTGCTAACAGGTACTTGGAGGTAGTCGGGAAAAAAACGAAAGAATTGGATTCCGTGTCAGTTTGAAATATGGTCTATGGAATTCTATCACGACAAAGAACTAGATGAACACCATGTTGGTCATTATTCATCAATTCATGAATTCAAATATCTTAGTTCTACTGACAGTCAGTATTTAGTTGAGTAGCGATAGTAACATCTCGAACTTCAGCTGAGCAATTCAATTTAGAATCCCAGTGCTAGTGTCCCTTTAAGATTGCATGTACATCTTAGGGATAAACACCAACTGGCAAGAAACATAAATCCAGGGTTTTTGGATGACCACTACTCCCAACTGTCAAAGATCTGAAAATCATAATTCTATTTGTCACAAAATTGGACGGATAGTCAATCAGTTACAGACAACGTAGGATCCTGGCATACATATGAAACAATTTGAGTTACCTCACTAAATTAGAACAGCGAAATAAAACTCATAATATAAGATTGGCAGAAGTGGTGGTATCAGTTATGGTAAGAAGCATTTAGGAAAGTGACGATTCGCGAAAAAACAATCTCAAAACTCAGGATCTCGCGGTAGACAATGGTGCATCTGAGCCAATGTGACTAATTCTAAATCACGCCGAACAAAGTTTCCAACAATTGATTATGACTAACGAATGAACTCCAGCCAGTTTGTCTATACCCGTTAAAGTCTCAAACACACCATCATATGAACTGATAACACATATGGGGTTTGGCCGCTCCAGCTTTCTTTCAACTTGATTCTATGCTGGCCAATGTTGAGAATTGACGTAAAAGGTGGTCTGAGCCGCGTTATACATCTAATCACATCAGTCGATGAAAATTTGCAGCTCCATCAACCGATATGTCATCTTTGCCTAGTACTAAGGATAACCTATTCAACAACGGAATGACAAACAGAACATCCTCTAACAAAAATTACAGTCAGTGGTCTTGTGTGCTGTTAGAGGGCGGTTATCACTTCCCGGTTGCCCAAACCGCGGAAGAGTTCTTCTGGGGGTGCCTGAAAAGGAAATTGGATTAGAAGTGATCTTAGTGACTTGAGAGTGTGACCGCAGTGCCCAACGGACAGCTGCTTGTGGTCGGTCACACACGACCTTTTTATGGGTAATTTTTGTGCTAGCTCCGTACTTGTTGATACCCCACCACCGAAGACGGATATCTGTGGGATAAGGCGAGGTGTGCATTTTTAGGGTCGACCTTTTCTAACCCCACCCCTCCTTGTGGGAAGGCAGCATCGCTGTCATGCTGTTTGTCTGAAGGAAACACCTTACTGCTGTCACACCTCTGTACAGTCAGCAGTACGACTTCGCCTTCGGACATCGGGTTTGTTGCTTTTAGTCTTACCGCTCTTCAACCGACCTGTCTGACATGGTAAGACCTTGAGGAACGGTTGTCCCAGCCAGTATAGCTCGGTCAATTCATCACGATAGGCAAGCCCGATCACCACGTCAAAGTAGCAACAACGGTCGAGAACATGAATATCAAACTCAAATTTTCAACAGTGTTATATTGATCCCTATCAGTGTACAGTTTCGAATCAAAATGAAATATCTGTACTATGTTCCATACTTTTAAAAACAGACCATCAAGCCTCTTGTCCTTTCCAAATTGAAACTGATTACATTCATTGAATGATAATCTATAAATCAAACAGTTGAACTACAGAGTCAATACAACTCTCTCTCTCTCTCTCAACCTAATTGGTTACGCAATTATATTACAGAAGACAATTAATCACGTTTACAATATGTTAAAAATGTGATGCAACTTCATGAAAATCAATATGATTACATTTTCAACACAATAACAATGATAAAATTGTCGATTACTTCATTATTATCAGAAGGGATTTGTGGAGATTTTAGAAATTTTCACAGATTGAAATCATGAGTCAGTTGAAGCTAGACCACCATTAAAAACCTGGAAGCACGGGGTGAGGGATCGTGGATGAGCACTGCTGAGGACGAAACGGCCATCCAGTGCTTCCAGGTTTTCAATGCTGGTCTAGCTTCAACTGATTCATGATTTCAATCTGTGAAGATTACTTAATTGTATAATTGAACAAATCACATGTTAATGTGATTTGCTTGTAATAATATTGCAATAATTTCTATGTTTATTATAAATAGAAATTGTTTTAATCTAGTCAAAATATATGAAATTAGGTAACTACCACCATCACCACCACCACAACAACAACAACAATGAAAATATATAGAATATTACTAGTTAGATTGATTGATCTGTGAAAACGGTTGGAAGAAGAGAATGAATTCGTTAATAAAGTCACGTTACTAAATTGACATAGAATTGAAATTTGTATTTCGTGACTTTTTTCGTGACTTTTCAAACGTTTACAAATGTATTCGTATTAAATTGTGTTACATTGAATTATCATAAAATATATAATAATATATATTGGTGATGAAAGATATTAGAAACAATAATCATTACCAGTCAACAACAACGTAGAACTTTGTACGTACGTGCATCAGTTCGAGTTACCATAACACATTAGCACAGAGATGCAATTCTCATTTGAAATCCCATAGTCGTAGAGGTAGTAAACGTATAAGCAGTAATCGGAAAGATCAGGGTTTGGTGATGTTATTCAAAGAGTATAATCTAGGGACATGAAGAATTCGCAAGATTAGAATTTGAGAGAACGCAAACAGTGGATGCACCTGCTTCATTAAAAACGATTTCGAGCTATGTCATTCAAGGTCTCCAACCATCGGTTGCTATCGTCTCACAGATCCCAACCAGGTAGTTTGCATCTACTAACATGGCTCAATCCACTTGTCTGTGACTTTATGCATTTGTGACATGTTTTCGTCTGGCCGCCCCTAACTTTCTTCAAACCTACTCTCCTACGCCATTAAACATCGCTCGTCGAAGCAGTCAGTGTTTCAGCATACGTAACACATGTCCCAGCCATCTCAACTAATCGAATTTCATTACTTCATCAATTGATTTCCCATCCTTGCCTAGTAGTACCTATTCCCTAACAACTCCATTACCTACTCGATAGTACCACGATATACGTGCAATGCTTCGCAGACACCTATCACCAAATACTAGTAACCTACGAATATCCTCTACTCTTACCGGCCATGTTTCACAGCCAGAAAGTAGGATGGAACGAACTGCTGAGCAGTAAACATGTCTATTGGTTGCTAGACGGATATCTCGCCTACGCCATAAATGACGCAATTTGGCAAGAGCTAGTCGAGCTTCCTGTATCCGTGTTGAGATTTCATCACACACCGGACCACAATGGCTGATGAAACTCCAAAGATAAATGAGTCGGTCGACACGCCCGGCTACTTCACTCCCTGTCATTAGTTCAGATGCCGATGCAACAAAATCCTGGAGCAACATTTTACATTTCGAAGAAGAGAATCGCATCCGGAAAATGTTTGCGTTGTTGCTTATGGTAGTCAGAGGACTCTAGGAGGTTAAAATATTTTATATAAATGTTAAGAATCAGGAAACTGAAGAAACACAGATAAATGGGAAGATTATTTTAGGATCGATGAAATAACAATTGTCGTAGAAAAGATTTCATAACAGAATAAACACAATGAAATGATAATACTGGTAATAATGATAATAATAATAAGAAGAAATTTAGGTGGTGTCACACATTAATATGATGGTTGAAGAAAAAAGACACGAAATGCAAATGAATTCAATTTATTCTGTCTAAATTGTTGACTACAGCATGTCTACAAGTGAAGAATAACTGGAACTCAAAACAAATGTCAGCCAACACCACAGTCGAGATTTTCAATACAAATGTCAAGAAAGTTTTATTGTATAAGGCGGAAACTTGAAGAACGACGAAGGCCATCATCCCGAAGATACAAGTGTTCATTAACAATTTTCTACGCAAAATACCTTTGATATGTTGACTAGATACTAACAGCAACAACCTACTGTGGGAGAGAACAAACCAGGTTCCAGCGGAGAAAGAAATCAGGAAGCGCTGGAAGTGAATAGGAAAAATATTGAGGAAAGTCCCCAAGTGCGTCACAAGGCAAGTTCTTACTTGGAATCCTCAATGCCAAAGGAGAAGAGGAAGACCAAATGACACATTAAACCGAGAAACGGAGACAGACATAAGAAGAATGAACAACAATTAGATACGACTACGAAGGAAGGCCCAGAACAGTGTTGGAGAATGTTGGTCGGCAACCTATGCTCCTCCACCAGGTAACAGGCGTAAGTAAGTAAGTAAGTTAAATGTTGACTTGACTTTACCATCAAATTTATAAATAAAAAAAGAAGTCAAATATATGAAACCTACAGATCGCCTACACTATGGGTCATTATTTAAAAAAATATTACGAATCATACATCGAGAAAAGATTTACCAAACTACTAACAAGGATAAAATAAACAAGACAACTGACATTGAATATTATAAATACATTTTTCATTCTTTAGTTTCTCTTCCATTGCTTATAATCATATTCATATTAAAATATATCATAAAATGAAACAATCCCATAATATCAGTATAGCGATTTGTGGAGATTGTATCATTTTCACAATTGAATTCATGAATTGATTTCAGCTAGATCATCATTGAGAACATGAAAATACTGGATGGTTGTGTTTATCTTACCGTCGGATGGCAGTTCAGTGGTCTAGAAGTTAAGCATTCATGTTCAAGACCGAAAGTTAGTTCTGGTTCGAGTCCTAAGTGTGCAATCACGGATGGGCACTGATAAAGAGTCCCATATTAGAATGAAACAATTATCCAGTATTTCCAGATGTTCAATAGTGATCTAAGTTAGATCGATTCGTGAATTTAACTGTGAAAATTACACAATAATGATGGAGAAATCGAAAAAAAAGTGTGAATCAGATTATGTAAGATTAATTTGAAATAGATACATTGAAACTATAAGTTAAAAGAGGTCATAATGATCAAAGATTTATAAACTGATAAGATTGATTGCGTAATACTTAATTAGTGAAAAGTTTGTAATAGTTTATGAACTAAATGAGTCAAAATCATGTGTGAACTAAATTAATCTAAGTAAAGATTGCATAACAAAACTGAAAATACAATAATGATAATAAAAGATTTTAATCAGAGAGGGTTTTTTTGGAGAGGATAGTCATTTTGATAATTGAATTCATGAGTCAATTGAAGATAGACCACAATGAAAAAAAACTGGAAACACTGAACAGTCGTTTCATCTTAGTATGGAACTCCTGAGCGGTGTGTATCCGTGATCCTGTCCTGCGAGATTCGAACCCAGGACCCATTGGTCCTAGACAACTGAGTCGACATCAAACGGTGAATGAAGCGGCTATCCAGTGCTTCCAGGTTTTCCATGATGTTCTAGCTTCAATTGACTCATGAACTAAATTATTAAATTATTACAATCTCCAAATTATGAATTAGACTGAGAAATGTCGCTTTAAGTAATGTATAAGTTCCCCAAATGCCCTGGTACGGCCGAGTGGAGAGAGTCCACTCTCCCTCTCGAAATGCTCTCACATGGCCACGCGTATATAGCCTCTGCTGGAGAAGTCCTACTCGCTGTCTTCACGTGCCCAGGGTGTTATTTACGAAATTGAGAGGACGAAAAGAGAATGTCCGGCGCTTTAAACGGGTTGGTGGACATGGAGAGTCAATCTAGGGGGGTCGTAAAAAACCCTGATTCCAAACCAATGGTGCACATGGGCTCTAGTACCCTGAGGGAACAAATGGCGTATGAACCAATTATTGGTCACCGGCCCCCATGGGACTGAATCTCTTTATGATGCTCCACTGCCTTGTGGATCAGACCTTTAGGTCAAAGGCTCCGGATGTGGCCCCCTAAGAAAACCACCTGCTTCGGTTTGAGCACCCGGGCAGTATCACAGTCTTCACACATATCAAATTAGATCTGTGTGGCGCATATGTATTAGGTACCTCCCTGTACTAATCATTATTGTTTAAGATGAGTATAAAGGTGTTGTATCGTCTTAACTAGTAATTATTTTGAATAATTGATGAATATCAATGATACGCTAGGTGTTGATTAGATGATAACTTACTGGACTGTTTAAGACTGTGGCAACTATCCTTTTCAAACTCTTTGGAATATGGAAATAAAAATATACATACTTCTCATTGTTCTTTCAATGTATATAGTTTGGCATGAACACAACTACTTTCATATTCACCTTCATATCCTCTATATCTATCTTAGATTGACTGTGGACGTGTTTATTCACTTATATGTATATATAGTACTGATACTTATTGTCACTACAGTTTTTTTCAGTCATTTAATCTCTATCACCTAATCATATACTGACTACAATTGTAAGCAGATGATGAGAATCCGCAAAGTAAAGCCAACAGTGAAGATTGATATTACTCTATAATAAAAAGAAATGATTACATAGTACAAAAATTTGACTAAAGTAGGTCATGTGAATCACTAATTGACAAAAAAACTCAGTAGTCTTAAGGTAACGAACTTATTTTGAAACTATTAGATTCGACTATTAGGAGAGTATTGCGGATTTGAACGGATGAAACATTAAAAACTGCAAAAACAAATTCAGTGATAAATTAGTTTTAGGATTTCAAAAGGTTTATCTAGCCAAAACTAACTTATGGTGTCAACAATCTCTCTGAAGTCAAAACATTAAGGACGATAGTCCTTGAAGTAGAAAAGATATAGTATTTCCCATACTCACAGAGTTTACGTAACTCATTGTATCGATTATTTTTTTAATTCCAGGAATCTTATATAAACCTCACTTGATTAATGCATAACCCATCCCTTATGTTTGTTTTAGATTCTAACACCAAATGACCTCCGGCCTGTTCTTGCACATATATACATATAGTTATTATTGATAACCTTAGTCGTTTCAATTCTTTTCATTCATATATGTCGATTGTTTCACTCGATATATTACTTAAATGTTGACATTCAATACATATATGATTGTAGGCAACTGATGAGAAACCACGAAATATAATTAACTCATATTATACTTTACCTTTTGTTGTCTGAATCATATCCATATTGTGAACCCATTTTTGAACAACAGCGTAACTTCCACCGGTCTTTGTATTGATCGCCACTTCAGCTCGTTCATCAGGATCTGCCGGATTCTCTGTGCCTTATTATTAAATAAAATAAACGTTGGAGATGTTGGTTTTAAGCAGTTTAGTGATGGTATACTGTATAAGGACAATGGCTACTGGTTCTTTACTTAAAATCCGATTAATTTTGATTGAATTAAATACCGGGTAAACATCAAACAGATGAGGAGAGTTCTGTGTTTTACTTGTGAAGCCTGCAAATGCCCTAGTACGTCCGAAGGTGGGGACAGTTAGCTTTCCCTCCCGAAATATCCTCACATGACCACGCGTATACAGCTACTGCCAGGGAAGTCCTACTGACTGCCTTCTTGTAGCGGGGGTGTTTACGAAATCAAGAGGACGAAAACAGAATTTCTGATGTTCTAACTGGGTTGGCAAGCAAGCAAGATCCACCTAGGGGAGTTGAAGAACCCTGATTTCAAACTAATGGTGCACGTGAGATCCGGGATCCTGAGAGAACAAATGGCGTATGAGCCTGTTGTTGGTCATCGGCTATGGTCCTAACGACCATGGTATCTTAATGGCGTGAGATGTTATGAAATATAACTAACAATACAAAGCCTTGTTGAGCTAAACCCAAATACCTTGGTATAACTAATAATGTAGAAATTTTACTGTGCCACTCAAAACGCGATGAAAAAAACCCAGACATACATGGCCTTTCAAACAGGAGTTCTACTCTCATCTTTCATGTAATAATGAGTGTATTCTTAAAATTAATAAGACGAAGGTGGAGATCTGACGTATAAACTAAATAAACAAATTATAATACATACTTTGTAAAAGTATAACCGTTGAATTTTTGTTCTACAATTTAGATTAGGAATGAGTGTAGTGAACAAGAACACGGGTGGGGACAATCGACTGTATTTAGCACAAAAATTACAGACTATCTCAATATAATGTGAATACCATAAAGTCAATCGTCAATTTGCAAAATATCCTTCCATCATATCAAACTGTACTATTCCCGTTGCAAACACTAATCCATTGTCTCCCATTCCATTGTACATGCGTTTTCTTACAATTGCATTGTGTTCTTGCTCTTCCTTTCTTGATCTTCGCCATCTTCTGCTGCCGGACATTACGTTCTTTTAACGCACGTTATATACTACTTATATCAATATAAGTAGGTCACACCACATGAGAACTACTTTTCAAGTTTTATTTCACAGTTAAATCAAATTCAATTGTAAATATTAATCCCATTATAAATACAATATTAAAGATAGAAATATGCAATATGAAATAAAATATAGAATATTTTTACCATCAATGAAACCACTCAAATCTCGTCCATTACGATAAACCCATCCGTAGATATCTTCAAATTTGATTACAGATCCATTTGGTAAATTATTGATAATAGCTTGTGTCAATTCAAACAATTTACCATATTCATGACATTTAGCATGAATAAATATATCTCCATCTATGAAATTTATTAAAACAATAATAATCTGTAATCAACTTATTTAGCTAACAACTGATTATCTGTTTGATACTATATAAACTACCGTTCAATTTTGTTACCTAGTTACTAGTTGTAAGATACACTAAACTGTTATATGCCTACTGAAAACGTTCATTAAGCTTCATCTCATCGAGATAATTATTACATAAGTCAGTTTTTTTTAATACTTGATATACGAAAACAGTAAGTAAAACTTACTTACTTACGCCTGTTACCCCCCTCCAACGGAGCATAGGCCGAATAAGTAATACGTTAAATGGATGATTAACCAGATATGTTAGGTTATTAAATAATATAAAATGACTATCAGGAATACATTGAGGATAAAATTATCCATGTATATAGTAGTGAATAAATGATCGAGTTTAGTTATATCATTGATTACTTGGTCTTATGTAATTTATAAAAGATAAACTAATGTATAAAATCTCATAAGTGTAAAACGTATTACGTAATAATCATTCAGTAACAACGTGGAACATCGTACGTACATACATCAGTTCAAACTGCCATAAGACATTAGCATACAGATACAATTCTCATTTGAAATCCCATAGTCGTAGAGGTAGTAAACGTATAAGCAGTAATCGGAAAGATCAGGGTTTGGTGATGTTATTCAAAGAGTATAATCTAGGGACATGAAGAATTCGCAAGATTAGAATTTGAGAGAACGCAAACAGTGGATGCACCTGCTTCATTAAAAACGATTTCGAGCTATGTCATTCAAGGTCTCCAACCATCGGTTGCTATCGTCTCACAGATCCCAACCAGGTAGTTTGCATCTACTAACATGGCTCAATCCACTTGTCTGTGACTTTATGCATTTGTGACATGTTTTCGTCTGGCCGCCCCTAACTTTCTTCAAACCTACTCTCCTACGCCATAAAACATCGCTCGTCGAAGCAGTCAGTGTTTCAGCATACGTAACACATGTCCCAGCCATCTCAACTAATCGAATTTCATTACTTCATCAATTGATTTCCCATCCTTGCCTAGTAGTACCTATTCCCTAACAACTCCATTACCTACTCGATAGTACCACGATATACGTGCAATGCTTCGCAGACACCTATCACCAAATACTAGTAACCTACGAATATCCTCTACTCTTACCGGCCATGTTTCACAGCCAGAAAGTAGGATGGAACGAACTGCTGAGCAGTAAACATGTCTATTGGTTGCTAGACGGATATCTCGCCTACGCCATAAATGACGCAATTTGGCAAGAGCTAGTCGAGCTTCCTGTATCCGTGCTGAGATTTCGTCACACAACAGACCACAAGGGCTGATGTAATAGAATGACTATTTAATAATACTTTTAATCAATCTTAAAATTACAAAGTTCTAAAATTGCATATAAATACCACTAGATGAAAATGATTCCCTGAAGTAAGCAGAGAATCATATTCGGAAAAAACTCCACGAACCTGCTCAACCATTCGTTTGTCAGGTTATAAACTATTGCTTACAATAAAAAAGCAAGTGACAAACCGACAAATGAAGCTAAGTTTACCTGTTTTAGGTAATTTACCAAGGTTTCCTGACCGTTCACGGTATTCGTAATTATTAATTCCTCTAGACTGATAATTAGGGTTAATTTTTTGTAGAAATTCAAATCCAAAGCCAACACCGTATAGAATCTCATCTTCTTCACTTCGTGAGTCAGGTGGACAAATTGCATCAACATATTTCTAGAATTAATGAACAAATGTATGGATAATATATTTAAAGTGTAAAAACAACTTAATTATAGGTAAATGTCATTGATTCAAACATAATTAACGCAGAGCCTGTTACGAACATGCGTCGGCCCAAATTGACATGCCATATCAGCACAAAGAGAGTGACTTAACAAGATGAATGAGGAAGAAATTAAAATAATCTGTCTGTAATGATAACAAAAGAGGCTGAACATAAACAATATGATACGAAAAGATATGACGAAGAAGCTTATACAACGTGATATGATTGGAGTTCTACTGTACGGAGCTGAAAGTTGGAGAACTATCACAAACATCATCAAAAAGGTACAAGTACTTATAAACAGTTGTCTATGCAAGATACTCAATGCCTGTTGGCCGAAAATAATCAGCAACACACTACTGTGAGAGAAGATAAACCAGCTTTCAGCTGAAGAGTAAATTAGGAAAAGACGCCCCAAGTAGATAAGACACACACTGAGAAAATCACCAAACTGCATCACGAGGCAAGCTCTAACGTGAAATTCTGGATGGAAAAGGAAGAGGAAGTCCGAAGAACGCACTACGTTGGAAACTGGAAGAAGACATGAGAAAGATGAATAGCAACCGGGAAGGATTGTCGAGGACAGAATTAGATGGAGAATACTGAAGGTTGGCTTATGTTTCTCCATCGGGGTAACAGGAGGAAGTAAGATCATACAATGTTATCAGTCTATAGGTTTCAATCTTTTTTTAGTAATATAAAAGTCGAAAGATTTTCTATATGAATGTTATTCATTAAGTTTTATGTCAGTAGCTTATTTAAGGAACTGTAGTAGTCTGAACCTAAAGGACGTTTGCATTTTTTTCTTGATATCGAGAACACTTCAGATAGTTCACGACATATTTACAGAATGTTCGCAAACCATCCACAATCAATTCAATAAAAGTATTTACTTAAGTGTACAATAAAAGTAAAGGCTCAAAAACTAGGCAAGTAAATCAATTGTCGAAGAAAGCTATCAAGACCAAACTAGAGAAGTGCTTTCAAGCAATAGCAAGATTGTGAATGCACCAAAATTTGCTGTCTGTTACATTACAGTAGACTGTATACAACTACAAGTAAAGAACATTCAATAAATTACTGATAACTGCAATCAAATTAACGAACAAAAAGTTACGAAAATAAGAATTTGTCTACAATTACGTCGAAGCAATTTTTCAGGCAAATTATACATTTGGAAGCGAAAACGTTTTCAGGAATATCTGATGAGAAATATCTCATACAGACTATTTGGTTCTGACACGAAATTCCTTGTCCATCAAATAACAATCTCAAAAATAACAGAAATCACCTCAAATGTAACGCACTATTAATACTTTTAGCTGTAGAACGTGATATTGTAACCGTTTGTTAAAATACGTCATGAACAAGTATTTTTATAACTGACGATCACGTCTTTATAAAGATGTAACAATATGAAAACAAAAACACTAATTCAAATATATCTATGAGATTATTCAAAATACCAATCAGATATTATCTATTGCTAATAATAATCCGTTATTAATTTATCAGAGTATTTTAAACTTAGTTGAACAGAACTACAGAGACTATCATCACTCAATATTAGTAAAAAGCACATAAACAATGTTATTATTTCCCGAGATATAGTCAGTAAAATTTAAGTAGGATGGCAACATTATAGTTTTCAATCATAATATGTCTAAACTCAAAGATCTTACTGACCATACAACTTTGTTAGGCAAGAATTCCCTTACCAATTTCCCTATCCTACTTACGATAAGATTACATATTACACAGAAATAACATTCCAGTAGCTAAATTTAGATACGAAAAGTTCGGAAGATTACATCATCCAGAAAGAACTTAATATGAATAAGAGGACAACACATTTTACAAATGTTAACTCATTAGGAGTATGGTGGAAAAAGCACCACTCTTTCCATAGAGAAATGGATGTGTTTACGAGTTTGTATTACAAAACCACAGACCCAATGAGGATGTTACCATTATCTATTATTCCAACACATAGGAAACGATCAATGCATCGAAAGAGTGGCTAACACTTTTTCATAAGTCCTTATCTGGGTTAGACGTTAAGGCCTTTTTCCAAAGTCTATATATGAAATTATAAGATCAGATATTTACCTCTAACTTAACTACAAAGATTGAGTCGTATAAATGGACAATGTTATATATAATACGTAAACATCTACCAACATAGATTGAAGTTAGACGAGTTCATAGATTTACAATCAACATTTTATCACCGAAGATAGGAGAAAAACAGGAATACATACATTAGAAACCACTGAACAACATATTTTATTAGCCTTTAGTTTGTAGAGCTTTGGAGCTTGATGGCAAAAAATAGATGTTTTCTTGGTCAAAAACTCAATCCTATATTGTTATTTTCGTTAATGAGACATATTTATATGAATAATTATGTAATGTGTCTGCGAATATGTCATGATCCGTTAAAAATACTAAACAATTCAACAAATCATATCCGACTACCTACGAACTTCATGAGTGTATGTATCACTGTCATTACATATAAACGTCAGAAAAATGTGGAGAACATTACAATACCTTGATTTGTCCGATAGACTTCAAACATTCTTGCGGTGATGCCTGGGGATCCAAGTGAATGGTCAGAAATAGAGCATGTGACTTAGTCTCACTAACAACCTATGTAACGATATATTGAAGAAATAATAAATTTACAGATCCTTGAGGAGCAAATCTAGTAGCGCACGCAGCACGTACAAATAGTCTTTTACTTAAAAGTTCTTTCTTTGAATAAACAGCATACGGAAGAAGGAAAGTCCCACCTACAAATAAACACTCAGTAATCAGTGTTTTTCTTGTTACACTGCGAATTCCTGAAATAGTAAGAGGTGATATTGGGGAATCACTTGCCTTTAACGAGAAACGACATAAACTTCATGTCCTTGAGATTGTAAATGACTAGAGAGAATTTCAATCTTATCTGAGTAAGTAAAACACTTGTAGTGACTCATCTTTATCTAGAGAACACGATTGGTTTATTGAAGAAAAGTATTATTGTAACCAATTGTACCAGTGACTGTTTTATTGTGCTTTTGTTTAACTGTGCTAAAAAGCATCCATTATTCTTCCACTTTGATTGTGACTTCGCGCGAATTCGGTTGCGTTCTTTAACCAAGCTTCTATCCTGGCACGATCTTGGTATCCTTTCGATACCACGAGATCGCCAGCAAATATACCTCGACTTGGTCCATTAACTGCCTTCTGATATTTGGCTTCCGGGGGATTTTATGGATTTACTTGACATGCGACCCTTTGTAGCGGTGTTCATAGTCAATCACGACTCGACACCACACTACACACTTTCGCTAATTGATAACTTGTCTTAGGCCAGTGGAAGTTTGAGTCTTTTCTAAATAAAGTTCAAAAAAGTAGTTTTTTAATATGAGACTACAGTCAACGTCAAAAATGTTTCAGCTCAGTTGTATAAATCCATCTCAGTTTGTTGTTTTGTTTTGGCTACGTACAACCGTATCCACATTAAAGTGTAGCAGTAAAGTATGATACAATATGGAGTAGTAAGAACTGGTGACTTAAACAATCATAATAACAAAGATTACCAAAAGCATATATATGAATAGATTAGTAGGAATACAGCCCTTATATATGTATCGAGCTTGGCTGAACCATTCGGTCTCTCTACAACACGCTTCTTGTTATTTATTTATAACCTCAGATTTTTGATAATCCCTTGTGAGTGCTGGTCTAGCCAGTAAACTGCATTACTTGTATATCTTTTAATTTCAGAAAGCGTTCTTTGAATGTGTCAAGTTTTCTCCCAAAGGACTCCTGGGAATTCGCTTAGACGAACTTATCCGGCAGCGAATTCCAGCATTTGAGTATTATTAAGGAGTAGAAGTTTGGTCTGCAATCCGTTCTGCTCTGTTGTGTCAACAGGTTCTGGGTGTTACTCCTTAGGTTTATGTTGGAACCTAGCTTAAGTAAGTGTTTAAGAGGATTCCAGAAGAATTTAGGATGCTATAAGACATTAGGTCACCTCTAGGACTCCTGTACTCTAATGGGTAAGGGGTCAGTGATTGAAGGCGCTCTTCATAACGCTTGAATCAAAGTCCTCGAACTAATTTCGTGACTCACCATTGGATTCGTTCCAAAGTGTCCTTATCCTTTTGGAGTGAGGGTGGAAACACTATGATTAAGTACTCTAAATGGAGATGAATAAAAGTGATGAAGATTATTTAGAACGTTTTTCCGTCAGACTGGCAAAAATAAGCTTCAATGTTAACAGTGCAAGATTTGCTCGAAAGGCAGTTTTGTCTCAATTGGAGTAAGACTTTAAATCGTAGGGTTCCAACACTCCTATATCTTTTGCAAATTGATGACTTCTTGAGAAGGGTTGTCTAAGTCGTAGCTGTAGTCTGACTTGCTCATGTGAAACTTGTGATGTTAAAGCATTTCCAACTCTCATGCACTCCATTTACCTTGGTACGATGTGTCCTGTTCTCTCCAAGATATTGGTGTTTCAGTAAAACCAGCCTTCCATTTTCGTTATGAGAAGTATAAACGGTACTCCATCAATGGGATTGGCGAAGTGGATGAATATTAGTTACCGACAAGCAAGCATTGATGTTGAGAACTATGACTTCAATCTACACATGAGTGAGGGACAGAACATTTTGTTTGTTTCAAGCACATTATGATTTAGGCTTAGGCAACGTTCATTTAAACTGAGGATGTTGTCTACGCTCAGTATCTAGACTTATGTCCTCAATGTTATGTTGGATTCGCTATTCTGCTAAGATGATGTACAACATCCTGACCCAGACTCTTACATTATTACCTATCGCCTGGCATCGGATGAAAGGAAAAGAAAAGAAAAAAACCAAACAATAAGTGACATAGTTATCAGCTTTCCTTAACACTTTACACTCGTGATGCATTTCCAATTATGATGGACAGCTTTTCTTAGTCTAACTTCGACTCTTTTAGTGGCCCGTGGATCTGACTTCAATTAGATCGTAATGATGATTGTTGTTGAAATATATATGTTGCCTATTCTCGTATACAACGATCGACTTAAATCACGTTAGTCAATAACGGAAGTTAGATAATTCAACTAACGAGAATGGCCTTTGAATACATATATTTTGTATGTAAAGTGAATGTAGTAGAACAAAGCAAAATGAGACACAGAGGAGGTGGCTGGTAAGCCAACTCCTTTTCAGCCAGGCCTTACTCAATATTTATAGGCAGACAAAATAAACTACAGACATGTGATGAGACATAGGATATGAAGTGTACGCAGATATACGCACATATAAAAACAGTCAAGACTGATAAGCGAATAATTGACAAGGTAAAATATGACTCAAGTAGAATGAATAGATTGGCTTGCCCAAAAACTAGAATAAGATATATTATGGGCTTAAAATAATGACTGACGCTACACTTCCCTTGAACCATTTCAACCCATTTCACTTTGTTACATATCACGGTTCACTGTCATTTATTGGTGTATTTGTAACAGCTCAGGTTGGTTGGTTAAGAGTTGACCCCAAACAACCAAGCTTATGCCAAAACAGTATTGTTCAAGTATTCATTCACTTCCTTATTTTTCATAAGCGTTATATTCCCTATTATCTTGAATGTTGAGAGCCTTTGTTTGTCTGAACAGATAATCCCACGCTCCTCTGTGACTGCGCGAAGATCGAAATAAAGACCTATTCACTACTTCCCTGGTTTCTTCTATCAATAGCACGAGGGTTACCTTAAGGCACGAAATATTCTCTTATCTAAAGACCATAGCCACATTTCTCTCTAGGTTTTAGTATGAACTTAACCTACCAATTTATCATATCTTATCTGTTCCACTATAGAATGTCCGTCACTGTTTAGGGTTTATATCCAAATGCCCTGCTGCTCTTTTGTCTCTTTTTTTCAACAATCATTATAAAGTCCCTAAAGAGTTGTATTGTACAAACACTTAACACGACCAGCATTCCCAAAACAATGCCGATCTTGAACCTGGTGTGCAACGTGGACGCGATGTGATCATTATAAACGTTCATAAAAACTGAACCCATAGTGCAACACTTAAACATAAAACTAATAACTAACTTTTTTTGGTCATCTAAAACTGATCAGTTAACAGTCTGCCTGAAAAATCCAAGAATCTTTACAGCTCTCATTATTTTAAGTGATAGAGTATTAACATAAGAAAATAACAGGCAGTTGTTTGTACAAATGTTATTGGTGATGATAATGACACACTACTGGCGGTTTGGATTGAACAGCTCAATGGATAATGTATTGTATGCTTTTAGCGCAAGTCATAGATTTGAGTTCCGTTGTGAATATCAAGGCTGGGATGTAAACACGCCAGCTTGTGATTCTCAATTCGGAAGAGACACACATTCTGGATTCCACTGTTAGCTACCACACAACTTTGCTAAATATTTGTCACCAAATTGCAGTATTGAGGCAACTTACTAAGGGTTCACATAAGAAAGGAGACTGATCAGTTTGGATGGTGGTTGGAAGTAGTCGACAGGAAACCCTGTACTTGGCACTCGTCAGCAAGGTGTACCTGTAATCTTGAGGGAACTGGTGCTCCCTGGCGGATTCGATCTCGTGTCACCCAGCTTCACAGTCAGAGACGTTACCAGTGAGCTATTCGAGACGCGACCGACCTCCTCTAGGACTGAGATGTAATCACAATTGATTGATCACTGGGTGCTGATCAATGTCATGCGTTTCTAGTCCTTCTTAGTGCAGATCGTGTCTAGGGTTTCCTGCCGACTACCTCCAATTACCATCTTATCTCACAATAGTGCACCTGAAGGGCCTCAATTAAATCCTCTAGCTTTCTGAAGTTAACAGCTATGAAACGAGTAGACTAAATGGTTGCAAGATGTGACGGACAAGGTAGTCCGAATATGCTTAATATTATGATGATGTGAGATCCTAGGCCATGTGAAAACCGAAACCACTATCGCCTATCATGTCAGTATTCTCCATTGTGACCACCACATACTAGCTCGGGCACTTCCTAAACCACTATTCTGGTTGGTTCTTGGGTGTTTTTCGATCTTATGACAACATGTCTTATGCCCATGGTTTAACGTGTCGGACTCGAGTTTTAAAGGATTGTCTCACCGATGTCCTCCAGGGTATCTGTGGTACGTTTTGCGCAACGGGTGCTGAATCTATACTTACTCTTACCGTACGGGATTAATCTTTCCCTAGTTTTTACCAAGCCACTATCAGGCATTAGAACGTTCCAAGTGTTTGTAACCTATTTCTAGCACTTCGAGGGTCATGCATTTGCCAAGTCACCTGCCGATGTTCACCTAATGTTCTACAGTATCAACTATTATTGTGGTATTAGCAACAGATGGTAATTTCACTAGTGTATGAGTTCGTGCTGTTACTCTCATAGTCGTGTGTTTGGTCGAGTCTGTGTGAGGTTTGAAATGATTACTTCCAGTGGGGTCTTAAGCATCGCTTTTATTAGTTCCCTTGACCTGTTCGCTGTGGGCAAAAGTACAATAACAAACAGCGGTGATTCGGCACAGACCCGTGGCGATATCATGACAGTGCGGTACTACAGATGCAGTGAACTTATCAAATGCGGAAATCACATTTGGAGATCAATTTCAAGAAACAAGGACCAGGGCAGAGATTAACTTGGGAATGACAGATTGAATTGTAGGACACTACTTCCTACAAGACGCATGTGCGAAACATAAACCAATGAGCTGGCAAATATCTGGGGTTTCAAACTCGTAAGATGCAAAGCACTTACCGTTGCTTAGAAGCTTAACTTATGTTCAGTTTGGCTCTTTTGTGCCCAGAGATAGTCAAACAATCGATCTAGTTGAAATGTTGATGCTAACATCATTTTCTGTTCGAATTATTCGTGTTGATATGCTGTCCGTATGAGTTGACTTCCAGTTGCATCTGGATTAGTAGGCTAACTGAACGAACAATAGCATAGACGCGGAGAGAATTCCAACTAGTGGTCCAGTTAGTTTGTTAAGCTTAATACGGTTTGTTAAGTTGAGGGTAGGTTTTCGGGATCTCATTATAGTTTGGCCTTGACAGGACCTATAAAAACAACTAATACATACGGATCGTTATAAAAATTCATATAATACGTGAAAATACTGATAATTATGGGAATTTAGGACAGATAGCTAGCAGTTACTCGTAAAAAACATGAGTTGATCCGAGAAAGACGTGTAATAAACCGAATAGGGGATGGCGAATAACTCTGACAACTAGCTTCGAGGCGAAAATAATTGATTAGTTGTGGACAGCGTCAATACGCAAAGTGCCACACACAGTAATAACCGCAGCAAGCTCACTAAACCAGTTGAAGATGGATACAATATCCACTATGCTTTACGGAGGTCATGAGGCTGAAAATAAACTACATCAAAATATACTGAAAGATGAGATATATTATCGGTCAGTTGAAATAACCTATTTTCAGATTACGACAGACCAGAAATGCAAGTGCGTAAAGAACAATATCGTTACGTAGGATGCTGAGGGAGAGTGCAAAGAAGCGCGCGTGAGGTAGTCTGGATGAGAGTAGAATAATGGAACTAGTGAGCCCATGACTTAGCAAACGAACAAAATGCAAAAACAGTTTGCAGCAATAAAGGTGTGAAATCAAGACAATAAGGATCGGTATTTGATCACGTAACGCTCTGAACCCTGCAGAAATATAGAATAATCAAACTCCTTTGACTGCAGTACTGCAATACAAGAAAATTTACATAACGATCTAAACAGCGTTTCAAACTCAGCAGTAATAATTGCATAAATTAGGTGAAACTACGGAAAATATAAATACTGACTAATCTCATTTGTTGACTACGTTGACTACCTACTTTGTAGGTAGTGAAAGTTGACAATGTACAACAGGGCGAGAATTTGATAATCACGTTACTGTCTTACCATTGTCACCCTACTGTTGTCGTCTGAGATAAATGATGTAAGTAGCTACTTTTGGGAATAAGGTTTTATATTCTAGTTTGAAATCTATGTAGTGAGGATACGCTGCCAGCTTTCTGTATGAGGCTGGTGGCTTTTGTTAACTTTTTATCGGTAAGCTTCCATGCGTTCCTAATTGTTCATTAACTAGGTTATTTGAAGATATTTACGCTTCTCAGTGTAGTTACAAGCTTCAAAACTTAAGATGGAATTTCTTAACTTCCGGTAATTTTCCTGGAACTAACAGAAGGTTCCCGAGCTCCCAACGTTTGGGGGAATTTTGGGGTTTTTGTGTCATTTCCCCAAAATTTACTATAGCGGCTTCCCCAAAATGTGCCAAATTTTCTCCAAACTTGTCAGCTTGGGTTCGGTAATATATAGGTTTAGGATTTAGTTCCGAGACTTCTCCAAGACCTAGAATTCATTACAAGATTCACCCAAGTTCACCAAAATGTAATCTCGGAATTGGTAGATTGGCATAGGCTCTGTTAATATTCTATATGGAAACCTGTGTATCATAGGGATAATGTCCGTTCTTGACTTTCGAACTCACTTTCTATGTTCTCGGAGTCTTCTCAACATACTTAGAAGTAAAAAAATGTCAGGTTCGATACCATTCTTTCGTACGTAATTTGTAAAAACAAGATCACAACAATCTGCTGTAACACAAAATAAGCAAGTCAAAAACCTCAAACCTCAGTGTGTACGGTAAACCTTGGATTCTCTCAGTCACTTGGTTAGCTGTTTTCTCCATTTTGTTCAACATAGCGGAAATACCTTTAAAATCTGGGCTCGCAGTCCAAGATCAATCTGGATAAAAATACTGCAGTGAATTTTTGTATTTCACTTAGCCAATATATGTCCTAGCGTTCTACACTTTTTAACTGCAATCAAACAACAGCGTGTTACTGTTCTTAGGTCGAAACCTAATGTCACTAAGTATGACTAAAGACATTGACGCTTCTGTGTTGTATGTCCTTACATTAGCGTAACCACTGTGCATGTAAACATCATGACCAGTTGATAGGCATTAGTTGCAATCTAAACCAGCTTAGTAGTACTTTCAGATCACATTCGGCACTGACAGAAAGTCTTTGGAATGTAGTATTCTTGCTGTATTACCCATCCAAACTTGACTCACAGAAATATTGTTCAGTGACCAGCACGAAATATCTTGATACTCTGTTGTACATTATACCTTAAGAGTTATTTGTCTTTAATTAAAAGCATTATAAAATAAAAGCAGGTGATATATCGATGTGTGATATACTTGCTTGCTTGCGCCTGTAACCCTTAGTGGATCATAGGCTGCCGACCAGGACTCACCAACCAACTCTGTCCTGAGTTCTTTTCCCGTTATTTCCAGCTGTTACTTATTTCTTTGATGTCTGCCTCAAATTCCCGACGTAACATGTTTCTCGGTACCCTTTTTACCCTTTGTCTTCAGGATTCCAGGTTAGGGATTGCCTCGTGATTCAGTTTGATGATTCCCACCGTGTATCTCCTACTCACCTCTAGCGTATTTTCCTAATTTCCTCTTCAGTTAAAAGTTGGTTTGTTCGTTGCTACGTTGGGTTGTTGCGGATATTATTAATCCAATGGACAAAGTATCTTGTATGGATGTATAGTACATATAATATGTAAATCTAACTTCAGAGTTCAACCATTGTTCAACTAGAAGGCTTTTGACGTTCTTCAAGTTTTAATATTTTTTGTGACAATAGTATTGTTGGAAATCCCTCACTTGGTTGTTATGGTAGGTTCCCCTGGATGTGGTCAGATTGTAACATTTAAGTCGTGAAGCTACGAGCGTCCCTACTCTAATTGCACCATTAGATGTATTATTTTTACAACACACGTTGTCAACTATTGGTTCTTAGCGTAAAAATTGTTTGTCGCCTTACTGTTAGAAAGTCATACACATTCTGTCTACTTAACTAATTTGTTCCGTAGTTAATCTCACTTTTATTCCGCTCATTTCCACCTGAAGCTGTTTTGTGAACGACAGTATACTAAATGGTAGATTTTTTAAAGCATTCTTTATTGGTAAACAAGGTTAAATCATATCCTTACATTCTGGATAACCTAAAAACATGGTTATTATGGTTCATTTATTTAAAGTAATATTTGAATACACTTGAACACACATGTGGACTCCACGATTAAAATATAATCTACCCTTATTTACCTTCAGTTCATGTCACTTGACAAATCCAGAACCAAGATTGCACTTGTTATGTATTAGCTAAATGAAGCTAAAACTATTCTTATGTATATAACTCATGAGAAGCAGCCTCACCAATGCAACTTTACAGAATAAGTGTTGTGTCATCCCGCAGACTCACTGTTTTTATTGGTGTTTCTGCCTGTTTGCATTTCTATTCATGAGATATGAACATTCACAAGCCCCTTAGTTCGAGTAAACTGTTAAAGATCTACTGACTTTTACTTACATCTGGTCACGAATTAATTATCTTTGATAATGCTTTTATAGCAAAATTTATATGTTGCCAGACTATCTTAATATGTAAGTTATTTTAATCTCCTCAGTATCTATTTAATCAGTTTCCCTATGAATACAAATATTGTCGTGATCTTGAGATAGGTTGTAAAGAGAAGTCTTGTTGACCTATTTCTTGTATGTACTCAATAGTCACGAGTATCTTAACTCAACTCATACAATAGTCAGAGTTCAAGATGATTTTCAACGATAGTCAACAGTAATTTTCTTTCTTTATCTATATTACTGTTTTAGATAAGTTCAAAGTTAAATAACAAATCTCCCTGCGTTTAATTTTATAGTCGTTCAGAGACAATTTTCAGTTCTTCACTTTAAGTCACAATTGCTTTAGCAGTATTTTTTAAAATATCTATCAGTCATTCATGATACTTCTACATTTTAAAAGTAAACTGAATTTCAAAGCCCCTTTTCACTGTAAAACACTAGTTCGTAAAATATAAATCTTTTCAGTATGCTGATTGAATAAGCAATCTAAAATAAATAGAATGATAATAAATCTACACAAGTGAACTTATTGTGATTATTTATTTAAACACATGAACATTTGTACAATGAGGTACCAAATAGATATACGCCACATAAATTATTCGATTTGCATGAGGGCTGGAATACTGTTCGGCTACCCAGACCGAAGCAGGTGGTTTTCTTGGGAGGCTACCACCCGAGCCTTTGACCTAAATGTTTGATCCATAAGGCAGTGGAGCAACGTCAGGAGATGCAGTCTCATGATAGACAGTGATCAACGATTGGTTAATATGCCATTTATTCCTTCAGGATCATGGAACCCATGTGTACCATTGGTTTGAAATGAGGGTTTTCTAACTCCCCTAGATGAATCCTCCATATTCACCAACGCGGTTAAAGTGCCGGACATTCGCTTTTCGTCCTCTCAATTTCGTAAACAACAGTAATGCCGCGAGAAGGCAGTGGTTAGGACTTCCCTGGAAGTGGTTATATGTACGTGGCCATGTGAGAACATTTCCAGACAGAGAGAGAGAGCTGACTCTCCCAACTCTCATCCGTACCATGACATTTGAGGACAATTTATTGTATTATTAATCATACATTTTAAAGTCCAGTAATATTGTCTTTAGTGGTTTTGATATTTAAGCTTTCAACTTGTGACTCATATGTTCTCTTGCAATAGTCTATTCTAACCGAACTGATAATTTCAAAAGACAATTTTGATTTATAGATGATTTGGAATAATACTATGAACATATCTCAAAAGTTTTCAAGACTATTTAAAACACTTGGAAAATTATCATATCGTCAAGTTAACACATTATCAGATGATATAAATCAGGTAATTGTCTAATTATTATTGTTTATTTCCATGCAGGTAGTTCTGTTAGGTAAAGTGACTTTTTTACATTTGGGTGAAAGCGCTAATGGTAAAAATGTTTATGCAACTATTGGATTAGTAACGAAAAATAATTATATGACTGCGAATGGGTATTCATCTACCTTAGCTTTTCATAAGTAAGTATAATTGTTTATTTATTTAAACACAAATACTGACACAAAGGGGCACCAAAATATATGTATGCCACAATAAGAAATTGAGAGTGAAGAAATAGAGAAAAGAAGGTGAGTAAAATCGTAAAAAAAAAGAAGGGTGAAAATAAATGAATGAACGTGAAAAATAAAAGAGGTGCAGTTCAGCTAAGAAAAATACGACCAGAAAACACTTTCAGTCAAATAAGTTTCACTGTTTTGAAGGAAAGTCAGAGAAAATTACAAAAGGACCGCCACTGACTTTTATCCTGAGTCATATCTTATAATGTTTCAAGCAACTGTGTTACACTATCTCTAAGGCCTCAATTAGGCTGTTGTGAAGGACCGGCATATGCTAGTCTTGTACAGTTTTTCTTCATGCCACAACATTTTAACATAAAATGACCACCTTTCCACTTTTGCCAATCACTTCCGCGATGCACAAGTAACCCACGTTGTGGAATTCGCCAGAATGACATTTGTGGTACACGTCCAAGCCATCAAATTCGGTGATACCAATCCAATTATCGTTCCTATGTCTGAATTTATGTTGCCTATCCTCCGCATTACTAACATGTCGTTGATACTTGAACCTGTCTACAACAGGTTCCTAGGTGCGCATAGCTAATTAGCTGACTGTTCTAATGAATCTGTTGTTAACTATGTGACATGAATATCGTGCATCTTAAAGAACTGTTAGGGTTTCTTTCACTGTCCTTAAGTTTTAACATAGAGTTCTTCCATGTTAGCTTAATTTTACACCTTGACATTGGAGATAAGCAAGGTTAGAGTCATTCTAATTACTACTTTTTTACTAAAATAAATGTTAATATCCCATCTGAAATCTATTCAAGTTTCATGCATTTATTTTCTTTTTGTTTCTTTTATTAAATAACAAAAATCACCATTTATTACAGTGTGTTTGTTTTCAAGCAATCCTTTGTGGATAAAGTTAAACATTTAACTAAAGGTGATCGATTATGTGTTATTGGTCAATTGAACTCTTATTCTAATCCTAATGGTTATTGGCGTTCTAGTGTTACAGCTGAAATAGTGAGTCCACTTATTGGATTATCAACAGTTGATACCAATGATGATATACAAGCTGAAAAAGTTGAAGAAGACGAAGAGATTTTAACAGATGAAATGAATGATAAATTTGATGCTGAAAAATAATACACTTCAGTATATGTATATATATATATATCATAGATTTGTACAATATCTTGTTTGTAATAATAAGAAATTCGAAATAGAATAGATTTATCTTATCTGTATAGTATAATAGCCTGAAAATGTCAAATTATTCTAAGCATAGATGGGTGATGGTTATCAGTGGAATCTAAGATGCGCGTTTCATCTTATTTTGAACTCGTCAGCTAGATGCGTCTGCATTTTAAAGTTGATGTTCACTCAAGAACTCGTAACCAGTATCGCTCGTTTTAAACACCATCTCTTTATCCAATTAGTTACTACTCTATTGGACAAGCTAGTGGTTATCTGGACTCAATAGCTAAGTGGATAATACTATGGCTAACATGCGATTAGCAGGTAACAATAGCTTCCTCAACAGAATAGATCCGGCTGGTTAAGTACATGAAGTTCCGAATAAATTGAAGGGGTTCTAAGCGTTCTTAAACACGTTATTATTACATTATATTTACTGAATGAATATCGTCCATATTGTCGATTTAGACTCTCCTCACAGAAGAAAATATAGGCCAAATACGAACAGGGATGAATAAGCCATAAACATTAAGCTGTATATTCGTCTACATGTCCTGTTGTTTCAAATATATCAATCAAAACGTTTTAACTGATAAGTCTGGTACTCGAACGCTTGATAATGACTTTCTAACCACTGCCAGATTTCTCAGGGTGAGACTATAATTTATGGACGATCTTTGAGTGACTCTAAAGTGACCTTGGAAGTGTCCACCTACTACGTAGGAACAAATGAAGTTTAGAAACCAGTGTGATGAATTAGATTTGGGGTTTTCATCACGAACTGACATAATCTAAAATGATAGTTAGCTGAATGAATTTCGTACCGAAATCCAAGACTTGTTATTTTAAGTCTGATTGGTTCGTCTACAGATTGTAGTCTCGTAGGCAAGAATTTTTATAGGTTCGTGAGTGACCTTGTCATTCTGTTAGCTTCTTGGAACATGCTGTTGTGTTTCTGGAGCTTTTGAGGAGTTTTCATTAAATGCTGTTTGTTGGGATGTAGTGAATGAGAACAACAGTAAGGATAACTGAATGTATTTGAGTACAGAATTAGTAAAATCTAAGAACCATACAATAAATACTTCATTTCAAAGTGTCAACCAATCGTCTTGGATTTGATTGTTCCTTCGTTTCCACACTAATCATCCTCTGTTCTCGTTCTCTTTCCTTCGATCTTAACCTTCTGTCTCCAGTCATTTAACTGTCGATTGACGATACATACTACTTATATCTGTCTACATCAGTAGCGCACCACAGTGAAATGTGTCTCCAACCAGTTTTGAAACTAAATTATAATTAAAATCAGTTACACAGTTCACGAACGATCGTCTTTCATCATTACTTGGAATGTCTTTTCAAGGAAACTGTAATCATTAAAGATTACGACAAATAAATCTGAGTATTAGTTAATATGGTAAACAAATGCCTGGATGAAATGTTTCTTCTCATAATCAGTGTTGTGTGACTGAATAAATTTGTATACTTTCTTCGACAGATAAGCGGAAGGTGTATTAGGATTCCTTGATATATTCCAAACTAAGGCTATTATTGACAAAAGTAAAAAATTCTGGCATATATATCTATAAGTTAATTACTTACGCCTGTTAACCCTCGTCAAGGAGCATAGGCCAACCACCGCAATTCTCCATCCAACTCTGTCCTCGACAATCCTTTCCAATTGCTAATTATCATTTTCATGTCTGCTTCCAATTCTTGACGTAGCGTGTTTTTGGCCTTCCTCTTTTCCGTTCCCATTCACGATTCCAAGTTAGCGTTTGCCTCATGATGCAGTTTGGTGATTTCTCCAGTGTGTGTCCTATCCACTTTCAACATCTTTTCCTAATTTCTTGTTCCGCTGGAAGCTGGTTTCTTCGCTTCCACAGTAGGCTGTTGCTGATGGTATCCGGACAATGGATGTTGAGTATCTCGCGTAGACAGCTATTTATAAATACTTGTACCTTCTTGATGGTGGTTGTTGTAGTTCTCCAAGTTTCAGCTCCGTACAGTAAGGCTACCTTGACGTTGGTATTGAACATTCTGACTTTTATATTGGTTGAAAGTTGTTTTGAGTTCCATATGTTCTTCAATTGTAGGGATGCCGCCCATGCTTTGCTAATCCTCGCCTTTACTTCTGCATCTGAACCTCCTAGTTCATCGATGATGCTTCTCAAGTACTTGAAAGATTCCACATCTTCCAGAATAGAATTTTCAGTAAATATCGTCATTTTTATTTTAAGTGGGCTGTGATACTGCCCGGGTGCCCAAACCAAAGCAGGTAGTTTTCTTAGGGGACCAAACCAAGAGCCTTTGACCTAAAGGTTTAATCTACAAGGCAGTGGAGCATCGTGAGGAGATACAGTCCCATGTTAGCCGGTGATGAACGATTGGTTCACACGCCATTTGTTCCTGCGGGATACTGGAGCCCATGTGCACCATTGGTTTTAGGGTCCGGTTAAAGTGCCGGACATTCGCTTTTCGTCCTCTCAATTTCGTAAACAACAACCCCACCACGAGAAGGCAGGGATTAGGACTTCCTGGCAGAGGCTGTGTACACATGGCCACGTGAACGCATTTCTAGACTGAAAGTTCTATTCACGCTTCCATTAACAGTCAAACAATTCACATTATTATTATTATTTACTACGTCGTTTATTCACTCTCTTGTATCCTCACTTTATGTATCCTTATTTTTCGACTTATACAGCAGCTCGCCTATGGTGGAAACTCGGTTCTATCTAAACGTTCTCGAGTCACTGCCTGGTTGAAAATTGTATGCTATCACCAAATACGAATACTGAAGCAGTTTTTCTGAAACCACATGCATAATTCAAACTGGCTGCTTTCAATGTTCGCACATTTATACAGGTCGGACAACAGATAGGGCTGGATATGTTTTTGGAAAGTTGTAATATCGACGTTTGTTGTCTATCCGAGACCTATATTCAAGACTTTGATGAGGTACTACAAATTCGATCTCCATCTGTCGCTTCGAAAAGCTTATTTTACGTGCGCTTATCCGGGGACCCTGTGGCATCTTCAGGTCTTGCTGGCGTTGGTGTCGCACTAAGCGCTAGAGCTGAGGCAGCACTAATCGATTGGATCCCCATTATCAGTCGGTTATGTGCTGTTAGATTAGAAAGTTCCATCAAAGTGAGAAGAGATCGGCGTGAGAAACGATGTCTTTTCGTCATCTCCGCCTATGCCCCGACAGATCGCAGCCCGGATACAATCAAGGTTGAGTTTTACCACCAGTTATCTGTTCTTCTCCAGAGAGTGCGTTCGACAGATATTGTAGTACTAGCCGGAGACTTGAATGCTCAGGTCGGGCGTCTAGGCACATAAGAAAGTTGTTAAGGTGGCCGATGGGGACTCGTTGGTCGCAGGTCAGATAACGGGGACCGTCTACTGCAACTGTGCACAGACCACAACCTGTTTCTGGCTAGTACTAACTTTCGGCACAGTCATCGCCGATGTGCCACCTGGCGTCCTCCCTCTGCATCTCAGGCCTGGACTCAGATTGGTCACATCGCGATCAGCTATCGCTGGCGTGGTTGTGTACAAGACTGCCGCTCCTTCTGGAGTACCTATCTGGACTCTGACCATGCTTTCGTTTGCGCTAATCTTACCTTACTTTTCAGTGGTCAACGAAGTGACCGCCACCAACGGATTGATGCCAGAAAGTTGGTTGCAACTTCTGTTGCAAGTAAGTATCGAACCGAGCTAGCCTCTAGGCTAGCTACTATTCCACCGAAGAGTATAGATGAGCATTGGTTACAATCGCATGACACCATGAAAATGGCGAGTAAAGCCGCTTGCGGCTTCGCGAAACGTCCTGCTTATAAGCACTGGGTTTCTTCAGGCTCCTTACAACTCATCGAAGTTCGTCGTTCTACTCCGGGTGACCGTGAGTTTGACCACAAACGACGACTGCTACGTAATGAAATTGGGCAAAGTTTGCGTAAGTACCGAGAAGCCTGGTGGTCGGAGCGTGCTAATGAGCCGGAAACAGCAGCTGCATCTGGTAATTACCGGAAGCTCTTCCAACTCATCCGATCCACTGGCAGCAAGAAGTCTGGTGTGAGCGAAACAATCTGCGAGGATGACGAGATGCCAATCACTAACATCCATCGACGTGTTGGACGATGGGCAGAATTTTTCGAAGGGCAGTTCAACTGGCCTGCTGCTCCGGCAACATCGGTCAGACTGTCCTGCCTTCCATGGCCGGTGACGACTGATCCACCAAATGAGGCGGAAGTCCGCAAGGAACTCCAACTCTTGAAGCGTTACAAATCACCTGGCCCAGATGACTTACCTCCGGCTCTTTTTAAAGATGGTGGTGACTTTCTGGCTAAGGAACTGACTGCTGTTTACGAAGGTCTGGGAACTAGGGAGCGTACCAACGTCATGGAATGAGTCGATAGTTGTCCCTATCTTTAAAAGGGGTTCACGTCGTTCCTGTAACAACTATCAGGGGATAAGTCTACTTCCGATTGTGTCCAAGCTATTGGCTTCCGTCATACTTCGTAGGTAGTTCAAAACCCGAGAAAGATTGACTCGCGAGGAGCAGGCTGGGTTTCGTTCTGGTCGAGAATGTATTGATCATATATTCACCCTCCGCCAAATGTTAGAACACCGTCATACTTATCAAAGGCCAACAATCGTAGTGTTTCTTGAGATTAGGGCTGCCTTCGATTCGTTGGACAGGACTGTTCTCTGGGATTGTCTATTGAAGAAGGGTGTGCCTGAGAAGTTTATTAACATCCTAAAAGCCCTATATACAAACACCTCAGGCAGAGTGAGGGCATACAACCACCTCTCTCCATTGTTCCATTCGAGCAGTGGGGTTAGGCAGGGTTGCCCAATCTCACCATTCCTCTTCAACTTTGCCATCGATGACATTCTGGAAACAGCTCTGATGAATGTAAGTAATGGTGGTGTGGATCTGTTGCCTGGAGAAAGACTTCTCGACTTTGAGTATGCGATAATGCACAAGCCATGCAATCCGCACTTAATCAGTTGGCAATCAGTGTA